GCCCGGTGATTAGACTGGTCTCAGCAAAGTTCCTCATAGCAGAATCTGACTTTATCTACCTGGGCTGGCACTTTACCACTCTCCCAGACCATTTTAAAAGTTCCCCAGGGAACCCCAAGGTTCCAGGGTAATCTCTGAAGTACACATTAGTGTTTTATGTTGAGAAAAGTCTGTACACTAGACTAGAGTGCACAGACTGTCTATATATGTCCATATATCTAGAGACAGAATTAAGTGGACTTTGTCATTTCTACGTTGAGCAATGATGCAGTAATGACTTTTCCAGTAGGGTGGGTCATACAGCTCCCTTAGTGCCACAGCAGGGCTATTGAACATCTTTCTCCTGTCTAGTCTTACTCTTCATACACAGCAGATTTGCAGGCAGATTGTAGGCTTGATACTTTCCAGGGGAATGGGATCTACTGCACTTGAAGAGAAAGTACTTCCTTGGTTCACAGGTGCTCTCTGTGTATTAAACCTTCACAAATGGTTCTCTTCTTGCTCCTGAGATATGTCTGGCTAAAGGGTCAGATGGGAATAGGCTGTTTCCCCCCATGAAAATTACGTAGTCTGACCACATTTGTATTTTTTCCCTGTTTCTTCAAGAGAAAGCAAGTGTTTCTTGGATGTATGTTCCAAGCTGGTCATATGCAGTATTGCAAAGTATATGATGCTGAATGTGCTATAAAGTACATCTGGATATGGATTCTAACTGTAAAAAAAAAATCTCATCAATAATACACAGAATTCTTGCTGTTCAGAGGCTGTTGCAAAAAAAATTAGTCAAGGAATACCTCCCACTTCAGAAGAACTTTCTTGTTCACTAGCAGACATGGTACACTTCACTTACTCCCCAAACAGTTATTTTATTTCAACCGATCCATAACACTAGAAATTCAGCTTCTAAGAAAGGTAGCATTTATTCCATTAGATTCTTTATATAAAATATAGCTTAATTCCTTCTTTAGACATAGATGTATATCAATGTAATTACTCCTCCTCAAAAACCCTCAAAACTGTGATGTTCTGAGGTTCAGATATTTCTGTTCTGTTTTGCATGCTGAGTTTTAGCTCCACATATTTCAGAACTGGTACTGCAAACATTTCCCAAACATTTTGCCACATAAAAATATGTGAAATTATGCATGTGTGTCTTTCCCTTCCAGGGATGCAAATGTGTCATCAACAGTATTATTCACTGGAGATGGCCCATTTGTCAACATTGCCAAAGCAACTAACAACAGCCTAATATTTTCAAAAAGGTGGGTAGAGTGAAGTTTCTTCCTTATACAGAGAACAACATAAAGTAGGGTGGTGGTCATTTATACACTGATTTCTAGCCCAGGTTTATCCAAGAGGTATAATGATTCTTTATTAGGTCTGAACTATAAACGTATTTGTTTTATTCTCTTTCTGCTACTGAATTCCATGTAACATTGGACAACTCTTTCTTCCCCCCTCCATTCTTGTCCATCTATAAATACTGCTATTTAAAAAAAACCCTCATTTCTTATCTAGAAATCTCTAAATTGTTAATATATAATATAGTGGAAGAATTCAAATGGAGTGGCATTCACCCATAGTTATCTAGCAGCTGTCACACTAGATTCTCTCTGTTATCAACAGAAAAAAATAAGTATTCCATCAAGGCATCTCTGGAAATACTGTCACACTCTATAATCCGTTGACTTTATTGGTACAGACTTAAGCCTACATGTGGATTGCTAAGGTAAGCAATTCACAGACAGGTATCTGTATTTAGACAAATTGGTCCCACTCATACATGACTTCTGGATGTGTCTCCAAGTTTAACAGTGACTCATTAGATGAGATGAAACTTGGCATACTGTCAATTATATTCTAATCTTTTTAAATCCAAATAACATGTGTAGTGATTCTGAAGGGTCCTACAAACTTGTAGTTTCTTGTAGATTAAATGAAAATATAATGTTAGCACAGGATTATATTCTCAGGAAATTCTGGAATTTACAGCACACCTCCAAAAGCAGAAAGGCTTGCCTTCATCGAATTAAAAAATAAAATATACACAATTACTTCAATTACTGTCTTTCTGCTTATAAGAAGGCTTCTTGTACACATTTTTCTGGAATCCTACCAAAAGCACTGAGGCAGAAGATTACTGTCCAATTGCTAAAATGCTGAAACCATGTTGAAAGAGTCTATGGTCTTTCAGGTTTCCTTTATAGACATACCACGTAATAACAAAGCAGGAGAGAATTCTTAATTTTTTATGCCATGTTTTATCTACAGTAAAAAAAAATATTTTAAAAGAGAAACAGTTTATGTTCTTCTTATAATCTGTTAATCCCAAACATTTATCATTCTCACTGGTGGTGAAAGTATCTTCAACTAAAGGCGTATCATTGCAAGCTATTTTTCTTTTCCTCTTGAGTGGATGTCTAAACCAGCAGTAATGATTTAAAGATGTCTTCTGTTAATATCTATTAAACACTAAGACATGATTAATTCCAGAGGAAATGGAATAAGTTCATTTATCTTAGATGTGTTTCTGTTGCAGAAATAAGTATCTTCTACTATGTTTCACCTTGACAGCTGATAGGAATCATTTTACAGGGTGAAACCATTAGAGATTCACACACTTTTTGTACATATAATGAATGATAGAAAGATCTCATATATTTGATAATTAAGAAAACTGAAATTCTTTAACTAGTTATCAAATTATAAAATGTATTTCTCGCATTGTCTTTGGTCTTTATTCAAGTATAACTACCATTGAAGCAGAGGAGGACACGTATATGGTAAGAATTGTAAGATGTGGTGGCAGAGACAACAAAACTGTTCTCTGATGCCCTTAGGCAATGTATATCCTTGGCAGAATAGCTTTGTAACAGGGAAAAATCCTGCCTTGCAGATATATGTGAGCAGATTCCACAGGTATAATTGCTTTTGTCGGTTGTTAAGTGAAGATCATACTCTCAGATGTCCCAGCTATACCAGATTTCTGCCGAGCATGCTGCTTCATAGATGACACTCAGAAAGGCATGAAGTAATTTCTACTACAGCAGTCAGTAGGTACTGGTCATGGGAAAAAGACCCTTGATACATGTGACTCCCTGTTTCCATGTAAAAAAATTAGGGACAAATCTGACATATTGGATATTATTTCGGCTAGTTTATGCATCTACCTAAAAGAAATCATAGAATCAGATAAAGAAGCTAATATACTGTACCAACCACCCTTTTAAAGCCTATGGAAGAAGGTTGGTTGAGAGTATTTAGCTGCTATGTTATGCAGAAAATGGTATTGGTTTCCTGTGGGTTTATGCATTTCTGGTTGTCCTCTTTGATGTTTGTCTTACTACCAAGGGACACCCTTATGAAGCTGATATAGACTTGAATACAAATTGCAGAATTTGGTTTCCACCTTTTAAATTAGTTTTAAAATTATGAATATATCTTGAAGGGGAAAGTTGCTGTCTGGGACTTCGAGGGCTGGAGGCATATCTCATTCTTATGCCTTTGTAGTGAAGATTTAATTGAGAATGTCAGGGGGTGGTTATAGCTCCCACTTGTCCTTCTTGCACCACTATGCCATTGTGAAAATGCTGGGTTACATCATGCATTATACCAAATTTTAGAGCAAATGTAGTGAGGGATACATAATACCTATAATATCTTCTCCTTTTCTATTTAAAAATTGTATGGAAATGCATATTGTAAACTAGCTATTGGCAGACTTTTTTTTCTCTGATATATTTCTATTTAAAAATTGTATGGAAATGCATATTGTAAACTAGCTGTTGGCAGACTTTTTTTTTCTCTGATATATTTCTATGTGTATCAGATTTAAATTGCTAGTACACATACTGTCTGAAGTGTTCAGATTCATCACAAGTTATGAAGATAATCTTAAAACCTCTGGGTATCAGAAATGCTTGAGTAGTTTTGATCTGTGTTCTTGTGCTATTCAGACTCTGGCTTTATATCTCTGCTAAATAATTTCTAACCGTGTAAATGCAGCTATATATTTTACAGTGCATTATAACCCTAGTAAAGATACAATGATATCAAACTATTCTTTTAAATTCTTTGGTCACACTGATCTCTAGTGGTAAGATGTTAAAAACATCTCAAAAGGTAGAAAAAATACCATACACAGTTACAATTTAATTGAGAATCTGTCACAGACAGATGACTCATTTCCCTAAAAAACAAGGGGAATCTACTTTTATTTTTGTAACATATGCCAATTAAGTGTCCATTGAAAAGGAATATGTACATACATTATCATACAGAATGTTGTATATTTACAATTAAAACATAATTAAAACATGTTGGATAAATATTATATTTAACAGTTATACTGATAATATATTTATATAGAAAAGTGTGTACGTATATGTAAGGTATAGACATTTATATATAATTATTTATATATAAATGTGTATGTATGTTTATTTGACAGTCATATAGTGTTTGCGGGTGTGCAGATACTTGTGATTTAACTGCATTTTCATTCTAGAGAATTCTGTTTGAACGACTGGGTGGTTCATCTGCAATGCAACACTAAACGTAAGTATGCATACCCTGGGAATATTTCACATAGAAATCAAATTGTTCAGTCCATAAAGCCTGTTTATAGTTTGAATTGAAAGGTTAGGGAATGGACTATAAAAGCTACACTCGTAATGATATAAACACAGGAAAATTTAGAGTCTTCACTTGTATTCAGTGTTAAGTACACACTAGAGATGGGACTATTCTGAAAACACCTATAAAAAATCCAGAAGGTCTGACGAAAGAACACATCTAAATCCAAGTTATAAAGTTGTATCTTGATTTCAGCCATAAAACATCAATTTTTTACCACAGTAACAATATTTTTGAATAGCAGTTTAGGTACTACAAAGCCAATTTTTCCAACAATATTAGCTACTCTAACAAAACATGCTATATCCCCATAAAAATCTACAATTTTTTTAATTTATTGATTTTATTTATTTATTTTTTTTTAGCTTGTGGAAAACACCGGTTAACTCAGAGCTATGGAACAAGGATTGTAGGTGGAAGTGATGCCAGAAGAGAGGCTTGGCCTTGGATAGTTTCACTCCATTTTAATTCCAGACCTGTTTGTGGAGCTTCCCTTGTCAGTGATGAATGGCTGGTGACAGCAGCACACTGTGTATATGGGTAATGTTCATTGCATTCAGAAGCTAACACATTCTGATACTCTTACAACATTCAAGTATCCAAATGGTGGATAGTTGTCCATAAAGCTGGGTTAAAGTATGACCTGAGCCATAGATCAGTCCTTTGTAGAGCAAA